ATCTGTTGAGCAGGTAAGTCCAAAATCGGCAATGAAAGGAATATAATGTAATAATATATTTCCAGGGTGAAGGTCATAATGCATAAATCCCTTATCATGAATTTTACGCAGATCTTCAATAATACCACATAAATATTCTAAATTTTTATACCAATTCATTCTTTCGGAATTAATATATTTGCGAATATTGCCATCTTTTGCATAAGTCATTACTATCGAAAATTCGTTTGTAGCTGTGTTTTGCGTTATCTCATAATGTTTTATTCCAAAAGAACTACGAAGTACTGTACACTTTAGAGCAGTCTGAATCTATTTTTGAAAAACTTTTTTTTAGAAACAAAAAAGCATATTGCTTACACTTTAGAAATCGTCCATTTTTACCTCATTTATAAACTCAGATGTGATTTGATTTAAATTGCATAATGATTTCGTGCTCTTTACGGCGGCGTTTAAATTTAATTTCTGCATGATCCCATTCGTCATCCAATGGTCCATCCAACCAGGTTGCTTTATAAATTGATCCAAATCCTTCTTTTGCAAGATATTCAACATTGGTAAATCTTTCAAAAGGATCCATTCAAATACTTTATTCTTATTCATTTTATTGCATTCATTTATTAAACTGTCGATCTCTTTATTTCCACTAGACCATTCAACAACATAAATTCGTTTGTGGTACTCAATACATTGGGGGGGGGGGGGCAGGACTCGTTTTTTAGACATTTGGTGCATTTACTACAAATCATGAATATTAGGTGTCATCTTTGAGTTTATTGGTGATTATCGTTATGGTAGTGTTCTACGTATTTAAAAACGATGATTTATTTATGTGTGTATCGATTTATGCATGAAAAATGACACATTAACGTTAAATGAAGAAGGCTCTTATATTTGTAATAACTTCTACCGCTACGTATTGTTGTGTAACAAAATTACATATACTCTTAATACATGTACATGTAATGTTGTAGACAAAAGAAGCATTAGATCCTCTAATTCCAAAATTTACACACAAAATTCCATCATGAAAATCTTACCTTAATTATCCCACAATAGAATTCCTTAATTCCGAAGATCTTCGATAATTACATGTAGTAACGCTAAAATAAAATCTTTTAGAATAGTTTCCTATTTTAACCGAATCATAACATAAAAGAAAAACATCTCGCTACGAAACAATGCCTTTTCTTCCTTGTCCTAAGCCTCCCTTCCGATCCCTCATTATTATCGAACAATTTGACGATTGATTATCTGTAGACAATAGCCCTCTAAAAAGTTGTTTTCTTTTAATTATTGATTTTGAATATAATGTTAATAATAGTCATCTGATTGAGTCTTTAGCAGTGCAGTGTTGCCAAATCGGATGTACAGTATCCCAAAAAAGTATCACCTGATTTAAAATTACCTATATAGTAAAAATACATATTAAAATTTTTTTGTTGATTTTATAATTGAAACGTTCTTTCATTAAAAAAATGATATGAATTTAGAAATATATATAACCTGAAATTTTTAATTTTTCGTATATAAAGCGTGAGAAATTTTTTCAGATATGGGAATCAAAACAGTTCTTGCACTTAAATTTTGTATGACTTTTCAAAAATACAATCCATTAGCGTTAAAATGATATAAAATTTAAATATATTTATTATAAATATATATATAGCTTGAAAATTTCCATTTTTTATTTGTTTTATTATATAATTTCAGGTCAGGCGTTACTTTTTGGTGTACTGTACGGGTCTACCACGACATTCCAAAATTCAAATCCCGACAGTAAGATCCTGACAGTTCAAGATTCTGAATGGTTCACAATAGACTATTTTCACCTTATGCTTAGTATATTTTGTCAAGAAAATCTCAGACTTCCAACCTCATAACTCAGAGTCTGGAGCTCAGGAATACTGCGAAATGTACAAATTACAATATTAGCGAGTTTTCACTAGTAACTTTGTTACACTGGTTCGATAGTTTTCTTTAATCAATAATTTAATAAACTTACACTATGTAATTAGTTGTACTAAGTTGATCAAAATATATTTTATGTGTATTTGCTTTGCCTGCATTCTCTCAATTATTTCACGCGTATCTCTCGATTATTTGGCACATAAATCTTTTGACGTTTTGATGTTTTATCATAAACCTTTTGGTACTTTTTTATCATAAACCTCCTATTGCTAAAATAACGAGATTTGTTAAGTTATACCATCAAAAAACTGTCAGGATCTTGAATGTTGAGATTATGACTGTTGGGATCTTGAACCATTCAGGGATTATGAACTATCAGAATTTTGGGTGTCGGGATATTGGGAGATCCTGTATAAAAAAAGCCATTATTATTGTTGATATATGAATTACCGTTACCGTTACCGTTACATGCATAAAATTATATCAACGATAGTACATACGTAATTCTTTTTTTTTGGATTTTTTATCGTTATGGGGGTTTTTATTTAATCTATACATATTAAGCAAAACAATAATAAAAATTCAAGCAAATGAAATTGAGTGACTATTAGTTTAAACAAATGCTGGATTTTATGAAAGGAGCAATTTTAGGATGTTCTAAAAGTACACAACACATTAACCTAAAGACTCAAATGCTGAATTTACGAAAAGAACAAATTTGGGATATTCCAAAGGTACATACGATCTGACAACACTGAATATTTCTACCTACAACTCAACGAGTAATTATTATTAATTTTACATTCAAGCATACGTTGAATTGTACGAAAGGAGCAATTTGGGGATGTTTTAAAGGGACGTACTGACAGATAACACTAAATATATCTACCTAAAGACTCAATCAAGCGACCATTATTAATTTTACATTCAAACAAATGCTGAAAGGAGAAAAAAACTGAAATTGAGTTAATTTATAAAATAATTAGTTACGTATGTTTCATGTTCACTACCAATACACATACATGTACGGTAATAAAAAATGGGCTACATGCATCCTTTCAGGTTCCAGAAACTATATGCTGTCGATCAAATTCCTAAACAAAATTGACTTCCATGCGCATTTTTGAAACCACATGCGCAAAGTTATTTTATATTTGTCTTTAAGCTAACTTTGTTATAGACGAACTTCTTTGCAAAAAAGTTATATATAACTGGATGCATATACATGTACTCTCAAACAGTTTAAAATGATTATCTAATAAGATATTATTTACTGATCTAAAAGTCACAAGTTTTGCTTTTTTAAAAGAAACTTAAGTTCCACGATCAACACTATATAACATATTGTGTAACATTATAACAAAATACCCTATCGCTATCCTTAAAACTGTCGTTAAATCTGTCAACAAATCTGTCGTCAGATCTGTCGTTAGAAAAGTGTGCAACAAATATCGATATTGCATTACAAATAGCAATGATTTGCGAGGCAAAGAACATATAAAAGCAAGATGCCAATATTATTATCCTGTAAACATGCTGTATATTTATTTCTTCCGTGATAACATATTAAACATGAACCAACTAACGATGATTTGGGACCTTTACGGAAGGGACAAACGACAGCATGAGAATTATAGCAATATTATTGACGAAAAAAATTCTAACGAAAAAACAACAACAGCCACCGTAACAGCAACAACAACTTCAGCAATTCAACAACATCAACAATTCAACAACTTCAATAATTCAACAACTTCAACAGCAGCTTTGTTGTATTTATCATACAAAGCTTACTGCATACCCTATCAATAAAAATGAACGGACGCGGAAGTGAATATTGTAATTACAATTTATATATAAATAATATATTTTTCATATGTTCATTAATAAAAACGGTTTATTATTTTTAAATTTAGCTAAACGATATCGCGAAAAAAAGAAAAAAGAATTCATTGATTCGCAGGAATTAATTGAATCACTTAAGGAACAACATCGGCAGTTAATTATGGCAAATACTTCTCAGTCCGACAAAATACAGAACTTGCAAGCAGAACAAGAATCACTTAAGGAACAAATTCGGCAATTAGGAATAGAAAACACTTCCCTGCGTGATACCATTACAAATACATTTTTTACAGTTCCATTATCTCCTGTTTCTTCACCGTCGAATCAAGTGTTAAACAATTCACCTTATGCATGTAATACTACTAATGGAAACACTCCTCTTACGTTTAATCGAAATCTAAATACACTATCGTTATCATCTGCTCCACCGGATCAAGAGATTAGTGAGATTAATACTTCCTCGTCTAATCAACTAAGCAATTCACCTTATAATAGAAACATACCAGATCAAAATCTAAGTGAGCTATTCTCTTTTAGCGAGATGAATACTTCGTCTAATCAAGAGCCACCTTATACAGATTTTACTAATAATGTACTTGATCAAAATTTTGATTCATATTTTACTACTTTATATTTAGCTAATCTTTTTTAATCTACATTTGTTTATAATAAATATTCGAAAATTATAAATCACACACCCGTGGTGTTCAACTTTAACACCACATCTATTTTGTCATGTGAAAACTAAATCGATACTGATACATCTACGATTTTATATTTCTTTCGAAAGTCAAAACTATTTCATCCTAATTTTAGAATGATGTTCTTCAATCTTCAATCCACAAGTAGAAACTATTAATTACTCACATTGGGCAAGTGAGTTACAAAGCATCGAATAATATTTCACCCACATGAATTCGCACAGAATTTGAAGATTATCAGCAAAAAATATTTCCATTTGATAAGGCAACTGCAGCACAGTTTGGTGATGATATCATTTCATATTGCTCTAATCAAAGTCGAGATCTAGGCAAGATGGTAGTAAAGTTGTTTGGAATGAGTATCAATTCTGCTTCAGTTGAGCGCTTATTTTCTACAATGTGATTTTTTCATACCAAACAATCGGAATGCGTTAAAGATAAACTACAATTAATTTTATTATTTCTGTTCTTTTTTTAATTTGTTATTTATAAAGATGATAACAAGTCTGGTTGAATGTTCACTTCACGTTTCGTGTTTAGCATCAAAAATTATCTACGTATTATTTTTATTATTCTTAAAATATTGTTATAGTCCGGTCTCAGGCTGTGAGACAGATTCAACTACCCCAGCGTAGCCAACAAAAAGCCACCACCCTCATGTACCCACAAACCAATAAGAACGTGTAAATTTTCTTATGCCGGATAGCACAAACCAATAAAAATGAGCAATTTTTTGATTAACCGGCGACACAAGGAAACGAAAAATACGAAAAATAAGGAAAACTGACGTCAAATCTGGCTTGAAGTACTAATAAAAAATTTCGGGAAGGCAATTTTCCGTATACTTCAGTCCTAAACCTAACCTTAACTCAAACGATAAAATAGCCTTTAACATTAATTGAAAACGAATCACGTTTTATTGGCACGGAGACCAATTCATAAAGGTCATGGACCTAACTTTGATTTTTATGGTGTATTTCAGTAACGAATTTCTGTGAGCTGATTCTTCATATATTTGAGTCGATTTTTGGCGCATCAAATATTCTTGCATAGCACGTGTATTTCATCATGTAGTTCGGCATCGATTTCCCATGTATTTTAGTATTGAGTTTGATGTATTTCGATGTCATACTTGGTGTTGTTCAGGCGGCTATTTCTCACTCATCGTGTCTCATTTGAAACTGGTTCGTAGTCTGGTTCAGTCTGACCAAACAGGCTCTTTAACGTACCTAATAATTACATAGTACAAGAAGTGCTACGCAAAAACTTATACTCAAAAACAGCCATTATGCTCCTATTTAGAATACTTTTTGTAAGATTTGGAATATCGAAAGGTCTTTAGAGCATATAATGAAGTCATTTGTCCAACATTTGATATATTTGACGGAATTTTTATTGATACAGCAGAATGATATGATGCATAACATCTTAAGTCAGCAAACGTTTATATTTTATAAAATGTATAAACTTCTGAACTAAGAATTAAATACAAAATTTAATCCATGAACATGATCAAAAAGGCTATTCTATCATATTCACGGGTTAAATTTTGAATTTACTTCTTAGTTGAGAAGTTTATACATTTTATAAATACAAAGTTTGATGACTTTAGATGTTATGCACCATATCGAAATTTATGGAATTCTGATTAAGTGTTGCAGAAACTAGAGTAGAGTAGAATATTTCAAATTTTCATATGCCAACTAAAAGTAATATGTCAATTCGCAATTTTCCCCTATAATCAAGCTTACAATACAAATTTCAATTGATTTTAAAAAGAAAATTTGAATCGAGTTATTTTACCTATTAAACATAGATTTAACTTATCGTTATGGAATTTTTGAAAATTAATACGATATGTACTAATCCTGTAATCACCTTATTTCGAAAATTATTAATTTCTTATATAGGACTCTTCAATACAACTTTAATCAATACATTTATAAGTATGCTAATTCGTATAATTATTAAAAAAACACTTAGTCTTAACAAAATTTTTGTTTTACATTATTGTTAATATTTTTGGGTTTAAATCTATTACATAAAATAATCAAATTAAGAAGGTATCCACTTTCTCTATTGGGGCTACCGTCAATAGGAGAAAGAATTTTTGGATTCCAAGCTCTGAAAAACACATCCAATAGCATATGTACCGTAAAGCGGAATGAAAACAATCCCCCCTTTGGAGAAAATTTAAACTTTAATTTAGTACAAAAAAATTTGAAGAAATTGTACAGCGAATCTTGATTTATTCATTTTATAGAGACTCAATAGGTATTATTAAAGAAACTCGATGGGTTTTATTAAAGAAATCAGACTAAATTAAGGTTTAGATTTTCTCCAAAGTGGTGGTTTCTATGGCATTTCACGGTAGTCTTGTCGTATAACTCTGAATGATTGATGTAAGAGCAAATATTTGATTGATTGCTCGTTGTATTAAGATAATAATTTCTTCATATTTCTCTTGATTGCATTTTTGCTTGATCGTTTCGGTGGATTATAATGTTTGAATTTCATTAATTAAATGATTTTATACGTCTCTATACACATATCATTTCAAAATTTACTTGTAGCATCTTCATTGAGAAATGGTTAATCATTCGAAACTTTGACGCTGCCTATGACATATTTATGGATAACAAATGTCTCTCCAATTTTTTTGATCATATATAAATTTCACTAAACTATCGTTATTTTAATCAGATAAATTTGTCTTACTTCAGAAGTTGGACGCGATTACTAGGTGGTTTCATCTTACAGATTATTATTTCCTATTGTTTTCCATTGTCTAATTAGTTGTGCTAAAATAACCTCCACACTCAAATGAAGTAAGAATCATATTTGCTGAACAAGAGAAATCCTTCAACCTATGAGTCTAGATTCATGATCTTTGTGATGGTAGCAGGCTCTTGTGACTTACAAAATCTATCACATTATATCAATATCGAAAGTGAAGCTTTTGGACTTTTATCCGGCATTATCAACAATAATAGTCTAATATTTTCGGAAAGTAAAACTACCAATATGGTCAAAACAACTAATCTACAATGAAATTTAGTCTTATACAAACGTCAGAAGAAAAATGGAAAGTTGACCATATCTATCAGTTAGAACAAACTACATACAATTAATTAATTACATTTCTGTTGGGTTATTTGACGTCCACTCTAGATAAAAAATAATGTAGATATGGATAATGTACTTTCTCTGGAGTCATGAAAATCGAATTTTCAAAAGTAAATGGCAAGTTTCTCAAATCATGAAGACGTAAGTTTTTCTGACAAAAGAATTTGGACTATAAGTGATAGTATTTATAAACGTGTTTTATGAACAGCAGTGAGAATATAATTGTCAAATACGTTATTCAGATTTAATTATTCTCTATTTTGTAAAGCTGTTATCAGCGCAGCAATGACAAAAAACTGCGTGCAATAAACCTCAATCTTCTATTCATTCAAGCGAAACGATCGGAAGAACCAGACCCGCTCTGTGGAAAATTAATCTTAAGAGTTTAGTTCTCGAGCATAAGAAACACTGTTGAAGATTTATAGGAAACAAAGAAAGTTCGCGAAGCAGATATCGAAGTGAGGATAATAAAAGCATGTAGTTATTATAAAGTGTTGACTCAAATAGAAGTTATGAAAGATTTGTCTCAAATTTATATTTTAAAAATTTTTAATCGAAACAAGTTTATAATTATACGATAATATATTTTTTTTATAAAAAGCTTGAATTTATTTACTTTAGGACTTTGGTCAGCAAGTATATTTGTAGCACAAGAACGATGTATTAAAATTTAACAGCAGATAACGATAGTGGCAAAGTATCACAGGTTGAGATTTGTTTAGGTGAACCTCTAAATTCAAAAGTTTATTGATGTTCATATTATTTCAAAAAGCCATTAAGAACTACTAGGAATTACTCTAGATGTTCACCAAAAAAAAATCACTATGTACCAACCCTCTTCTACCTTTTTTATCAATTCATTTTGACAATATTATCTGAAGTGAAATAAAAATATAATTTTTATCGAGTATTATCGACCTAACATTAAGAATTTTGTATTTATAAAGATATTAATTTTATTTGACAGATATTATTAACATTGAGACAATGGTAAATGGATGGTAGGGCTGAAGCTGCTCGAGCCAGCTCGTATATATACTCATAAAGCAGAACCAAGACGTGCCGATTATTACGAGCCCAGTCAGAGATGTGACTTGGCTCTTAAGTTTACAGTATTTACATAATATATAACGCTAAATTCCTTAAATTCTAAATTATATTAGCTTGCAGCAATTTTATATTTGTTTAATTCTAATCAATATAAACTTTATTAGTGAAACTGAATAACAAACGAAAATGTAATAATGCTTTAATAAGAGGAAAAACATTAATAATGTTTATTGCATCAGATTTTATTATTGTATGTGTTTTTATCTTTGATATCTGAACTCTAGAAAAAATCTAAACTCACACGAGCCAGGCCAAAACAAGTCCGAGTTAGAATATGACTCAGCTCTTTCGGAGCCCTAATGGATATGGTTTTTAAAAACATGGTAATATTCAAGTACATGTAATACAATATACATGTACATGTATAAACATGTCACTGACTGAGTTAAACAATGCAAAAAATTATTATTGAATTGCACAAGCATATCATTTATTATTGAGGTGGATAGGTAATAAGTCAAAATAAATGTATTTCAAATTTTTATTCTATTAATCTAATTTTCGCTAAAAATGAATTGTCTGAATAAGATTTCTTTATGCTGATAACAAAAACAAAAAACGTTAATTAACTAATAATTATACTAATTCAAATGATAAAATATAAAAAATGAAATGAAATTGTAATATTATTGTTTGAAAAAATTTTGTACTATTAGTTCAGTACATTTTTTGTTTAATATGGAATTGGGCATTTTTCCAAAATATCACAAGATGCTCCAAACAAATCTACCCACCATTTATTTTCATTGGTTAGCAAGGCTAGAAAAAACAAAGCAACTGCTATAAAAACACCACAAATGTTAAACCAAACGCTAATTATTGTATCAAAACGATCAGATTTTTCTCCTATCCAGTGGTGTATGTATGCAAGAATATTGTTGAATGACCAAACAGAACAAATTACTGTAAGATATTTGCTCCGACAAAAATATCCAATTGGAGGTGTGAAGTAAGCCAAGAGTATTGTTATCCAGGGAACTGTTGTTGATGCTAAAAAAGTGAGTAAAACGCGAGTATGGTGTTCTTCATCGCCTGTAGCTAATCTTTCCACATATATTATGTCGTCTCTTAAACACTCCTTAGGATCCTTGACTACCAGTTTCCCATGAGCTATTCTCCTGTAGATTGCAGGCAATGTCCAAGATAATACTAATGGTATAAATGGCCAATCCTCACAAGCACGCGGTGCTATCGCCCTTGTTATTCCTGCAATTATACCGACAAATATGTAGTATGCTGACGCCAATGATGATAATCGTTCCAACACAGATGCACCTGCTACGCATTCATTCAATCTTTCTAGCACGTCATTATTTGATGCTGCGCGTGCAGTCAATCTTCTTTGCACGGTAGGATTTGAGTGGGTGGAGTTTTTGTGGATTACCATCATAGCATGATGTCCGAAAGGTCTGTGAGGAATTTCTTTTTCTGCCACAATTTGTTCCTCGACGTTTTCATATACCTCCATAAAACAACTTTTCTTGAGCCAGTATATTGTTGTTTCGTCAATCTTTACATTACAGGTGTAAAACAAGCCTATAAATGGACAACCAAGACATCGTGCTACCCAAAATAGCTTGGTTATAAAGCTTTTTTTAGGTGCTGCTCCTATAGTTGCTACAGCAGGAAGGCAACCTAAAACATATTGAGGTACAGGGTCTTGTAATTTACGTATTAGTTTTGCTAACAATTCGTCTGTTGCCATTTAAGTTAAAAGTAAAAAAATATTCTATATTTAAAATATCAAAATTGAAAGGTGATGATATATTTAAAATATTTGATGGAATAAAAAATAAAAATCCCTTAGAAATGATGCAATATATATATCAAAAATTAGGTTTCCCAAACTATTATGAAATATAAATTTATTAAAAATGATTTTTAATGTTTTTCAAAAGAGAAATCACTTAACCTCTACTGTTTACAATGATGCTGATTCCTCGAAACACAAAGGAAATTAGGTTTGTAATAATACAAACAGTATTTATCTTTGTTTATATCATCATTTTTTTTTAAATTGATTAAAAATGGATAGTAGTGAACAAAAAACTATGGTGAATTGATAATTCTTGATCCACCGGCCGGAAAATGCTCATTTAAATTTTTCCAATTTAGCATACTTACGCCCCAAGGCTGAGATTTGTGTACGTAGTGTTAAAAATTAACTGACCAAAGTTTTTTGGCTGTGATTTGTATAACTCTAGCAATAATACATTTGTACAGTGGGCGCTCGATACAAGATTTGGTGTTATCATATCGAGATGTTACTCTATCGAAAAAATAAATACTATGAAAGCTTATTACAGTAATGGGATCGGGGAAGCGATTTTGTGTTAGTATAACGAGATATTATCTTAAAGAGTGTTACTGTAACGAGCGCTCACTGTAGTTAAAACAAAGAAAGCTCGCTAGGCAGGCATCGAAGTGAAGATATTAAAAGCATGTAGTTATTCTAAAGTGTTGACTGTAATAGAAGTTATGAAAGATTCGTCTCAAATTTATATTTTAAAATTTTTAATCGAAACAAGTTTATAATTATTCATCTATATAAAGACAATATATGTTTTTTTATTTGATTTTTAATAAAAAGCTTGAATTTGGGCAAGTCTATTTGTAGTACAATGACGAGATGTATTAAAAATTTTGATGTTTAAATAGCGGATAACAAAGCACATGTATCACAGGTTGGGTTTTTTTTAGGTGAACCTCTAAATAAATTCAAAATTTTATTGAATGTTCATATCGTTTCAAGGAATTATTAGAAAGCCACTAGGAATTACTCTACCACAAGCGTGCCAACCCTTTTGTTGTGTATATAAGTATTATAATTTATTTAGTACACGATTTTAATTGAACTGGTGCGAACCAAATTCAATTTTATTATTTAATATTCCATTCTGTTGATGGGAAGTTTCACCATTTGACATTAACGTTAAATGATAGAAGTTAATTTTTGGGTAGTACGTAGTACATGTACATGTGGTTGTTCCCATTGTTTATACTCCTTTTATCGACGACCATTTACGTTTATGCAATCAAGATGTTTTCGCGCATCATGCTAATTAATCAATATAACACATACTTATCGATATGGAAAAAAATCTCGCTTAACAAATCAATCAATTGGTGATCGAAACAACCAGATACGTACATGTACATGTATTTCGTACTTGAGCATTAAAAGTGTACATCGATAAATTAATCCTTGTCCACTTATGATAGAGATATGTGTGTTGTCCGCACGTGTGATGTAAGAACATAAATAGCTTGCATTGTATCACAGGACATTACCACGCGCGTCGGAGATTAATGGTTTCGGAAAAGATATTTTTTAATTCGGTCGTTCAATAGAAATAGCGAGCAGCACATTCCTTTTTTTGTTATTTTCTCTTTTTATTCTTTTCCCTCTTTCCTCATCTTTTCGCTTTAAAGCAGAATATTGATTTTTGCTTTGCAGTGAAAATAATCGAGACCCTTTCATTCCTTGATCATCAACCAAAAAAAACACACATACTTGTGCGTTTCTTTCCCTTATCATTCCCTACTTCGACAAACATTAATATCGTTATCGCTGGTCGTAAAATAAACCTTTCTCACAAAAGACACTCTTTCACAATGGCGAACTCCTTTCTACCAAATCGTTTCTTCATTCTTGGAGCACTGATTATTCTATTGTCAAATATCGTTGTCAATAATGCCACTTTATATCCCACTTTTCCGGACAGTAATTCAATTCTCAAACCCAATGATCAAGTAAGTTTTAAAACGCTCGGTATCAGGTATTGAACAAAAGACCCGTTTTTTATTGTTGATTCTTTCTTATAGATTGAAATTACATGGTCTGACAACACAAAAGAACCTGCACTTTCCACTTTGGGATCGATAAAAGTGGAATTTATGACAGGCGCGGATCTTGAACAAACTTTCCTCGCTGTAATTGGTACAGTCCCCGGGTCCGCCGGGAAAATAGCATATACTATACCTACAGTTGAACCGGCCGGAAAGAGTGAGTTAAACAATTATTGGCGATAGAAATATTTGCCGGACGTTCAATCGTGAGAACAGCAGCAGCGGCAGCACGACTTTCTAAAAAAAAGAAGTAACGTCGGCTTAAAAATAAAATTCTGCGCTCGTTTAGCACGAATATTAAATACCAGTATTTATAAATGATTCTATTTTATAGTTTACTTTATCAGATTCACAAGCGGAGCAGATAATACCAAATTATTCTTTACAACCAGGTTCATAATCACCGATCCGAACGGTAAATACCCGCCACCACCAAACCAACCACCACCAGTTGGCAAAAATCCCGGTGGAAATGGTAAAATTGTATCTGAAGGCGCTACTCCATCATTAACTAGCAGCTTAACAAATAATTCTTCGGATAGTAAATCAGCCGGAAATTCATCATCCTCTAACAGTACGACTGCCAGTAATAGTACTAATAGTAATATTAATAGCAGTAGTGGTATTAACTCTACTAGTACCAGTAGTAATTCTACAGCAACTCATTCTGCTGCACCAACTGGATTCCAAATTTCTGAATTGGTTATTGGACTTGCTACTTTATTTACTACAACTTATTATCTCTTGTATTTATTGTAGGTTTAATAATTAGATTAATCTGCTTGAGAATGTAGATTAGATAGGCGAATCACATTTATTCGTTCATTCCTTTCTCGACATTTCCCAAAAAATCTTTCAATATTACATTGAAAAAATTGTCACAAAATTTATAAAACATGAATTATAAAGATTCATAATTTAATAGATGATGCTTAAATCTTGCAAGAAAAATCTTTTATTTTACTGTTCATAGATATCAATCGTACAAGTTTGATTAAAATGCATGTACATGTATAATGATGATGACAGAAAATTAATGTTGAACACGCAATGTTTCACCAATAATTTACTCTGAAAAATGATACCAAACGTGAATTAATACGCCCGGAGAGGGGCTCGAACCCTCGACCTTAAGGTTAAAAGCCTCACGCTCTACCGACTGAGCTATCCGGGCTTGATATGTAAAAATTCATTTTTGATTATATAAAGATTAAGAAAATCGAATGAATGCTATTCATGATACATGTTCGTACTTCAAATTTAAAACGATGCAAAACTGATAATTGATTATTAGGAATTTTGTTTACAATTGAAATGTTAAATTCTATAAATATTATACACGAAATTTTTTTCTATGAAACCATTTTTTCTCTATGACATTTTGCACGATTAGCCCCTATTCGCCTTTTTTCCCATAGTTTAATTGGTCCCTCATGTATCTGGAAATGTATCGATCGTAGTTTGCTAGCCATACACTCAACCATCACATCTAAATGGTTGCCGCCGTAACATGTACAATCATAAATTTCCACTTTCGCGGTGTCAGGTATAGTTTTCAGTAATGAATTGAAAATAGCAGGATCAAATGGAACCGAGACTTTTAATCGGAGATTTTCAAGTTTCTGTAAATGCTCCGATGTGGCCATCAATTGATATAGTTGAGTAAGAAGTTGTTTTTGCTGTTGAGAGATTAGTGATCCAAGAAGATTCAGTCGTTTTAAATTCGGACAAAAATCAAATAAATTTGTCACACACTCCAGCTCATTTATTAAGAAATATGCTTGAAGATTTTGCAAGTTTGGACAATTGTCCGCAATTGTTGATAACGCATCACGTGTCTCTTCTGTCGACTTGAATGCCGTATGACCAATTATAATGGTTTCTATGTTTTTATTGGATTGACAAAGAATTTCTTTGAATGTCTCGTAGGGAAAATTGGTTGAAATATTTAAACATTTTATACGAGGAAATGTCAGCGATGTGATTTCTTCAGCCCATTCAGGTGTGAATACGCCTTTGCATTTATGCGCTTCAAAAGATTGAAAATTTTCACAAACTGATAAACCAGCTAGACTTGTCCATCTGGATGTTGAAACACAGGTGAGTGAAAGTCGACGAAATGTTTTCGATTGGGAAGCAATTGCGTCACAAATCGTATTTAAATCCATATTCGGATGTAAATAACCCAAATCTAATTCTTCGAGTCTTTTTTGCGCTGTTATTAATTCGATTAAACTCGCGAGTTGTAGATTTTCCGAATGGACTCTCGAGGTGAATACTGGATATTGCCAGATTTTGATTTTTTTGAGACGACGAGAAATTTGAGCGAGACTACTTAAAATATCACTGATTCCGGGTACCGTTGATACACAAGTGAATTCTACTAGATTTGCGAGATTGGCCGACGAATTTGGATGTACGAGTACTGTGTTTAACGAGAAGTTGTCTCGTATATTTTCTATCCCGAAAACTTTTAATGACTCGCATTTTCTAACAAATAATTTTAGTATCATTTGTGTTATTAAATGTTCGGATGCAAGCCGATCAAAATACGCAGGATATTCACCATTGCCATCACTTCCACCGCTTCTTCGTTTCTCCACCTTACGTGTAGAACTATAGGAAAGTAAATTTAATAATTTTCCCATCTTTAAAAACTTATTTAGATGATGATAATTTTTGTTATTACTATTGTTGTTGTTGTTGTTGTTGTTGTTGTTGTTATCGATAGAATCTATTGTCGATTCGGTCGCAATAGATTGCATTTTCGCAGCTTTGGCTCTCAACAATGCATACCAGCAATGAACTCCATCCAAAATCTGATCAACGTTAATATTTTGCATGATTCCCACATAATCGACATTACTGTTCGAAGAACTTCGCTTTGGCAGAATTATTTCCTGTTGTTCGAGTGTTTGATGATCTTCCTGTTCGAGAAATAATAGATATGTGTCAAGTAAGGATGCGACGCGTAAGCGCCAATTTTCCACCGACGCGGTGGTTTGTCCTCTTTTCGCTAGTAATAAACCGAAGGGATCTTTCCACAGTATACGAATTGTGTTTAGATACCATTGTCGGTTTATTAATAGACAGGTAAATAGTGTAGAGATGTCTTTGGATGGAACGCTTTTTAATATTTCTGTGATGCATTCGGATGGTAGAGTAGGAACGCGTGATTGAGATTTTATTAGTGTTTGTTGCGACATTAGCGAAAGAGTGAATAAATGAAGGAATTCAAAAGATTTAATCTTTTATATACCCTTTCAACGATTAAATAATGTTGATCAGATTGCCATTGTACACTATCGCTACCCCCTTTTCACTGTTGTGATTTATTAACCCAATCATTGATTTCTTATTATTTGGTGATCTCGCTTAGCATACGTACACAACCTATATCGATATGCATCTACATGTATTAATATCGATATAGTTTACCGTTACATTTAAATGCTGGTGTCTGCCCAGTATTAATGAATATGTACGTATTTGGGCAAAATACATGTACGTCATCTTGTAGGTTGGAAATTATTGTACATAAAATTGGTTCTTATTCTTAACGTTAACGATCTAGACTTGGACACATGCTTTTTTTGAACTACTATATACTCATTTCGGGACAAATGCATTTTTGTTGGAAAATATATCGATATACAGTAATGTTCTTCACCAATCAAAATTTATATGTAGCTTTGTTATTACAGTTACAACATTTATTCTTATTATTACCGTTACCCAAAAAGAATGGAAAACGGAAGTGCGTTACTTGCATTTTGTAAGGGAACCAATCACAGAGATTATACATACGTACATCAATTGCTACATATGTAGTAAAAATACGATCTAATCACAATGAACTTCATTCAAGAAATAAACATGTACATGTACACATGAAATTCAAGAACCAAATCTGAATACGAAAAGCACAAACGAAATTTTAAAAAGAAATTTTAAAAAGAAAACTTATTCTTTTTCTTCTGCTTGGAAACATTACACCTTTCTTGTTAAAATTACATGTAAACTCGAATCATGTGAAAATATCGTTCGATTTACGGGTGTATGAAACGGTTTTTCGTGTTGCTTATGAACTAATTTAGGTTTTTTATAATCGTTTTTTGTGCTTTTGCTTCAAGAATATAGTATTGGCACTTCGAAGACATCATTGAAAATATTAGTAATAGAATATAAACACGGTTCTGAATGGTGATCCGTATGAATTCGGGAGAAAAAATAAGCAAGGAACAGAAAAGAAAGAGGAAAAGAGTCAATGTTTAGTGTACGAATGCATGCCAAAATTTTATAATTCCCTACCGTTCTCGTGTGCTATATTGTATTGCATAAAGTTGTTTCCATTTAATATCATCGAAAAAATAAACTAACAAATTTTGTTTTCTTAGTGAATAAAACGAGTATACTAACATATGATTCTCCTTTATTAAACAATAATAAGGAATTTAGTATAAAAATACATCTTTGCATTATTCAATATATTTTTGTTTCAAGAACGTTATGGTGCATAACATCTAAATTCATCAAACGTTTGTATTTTACAAATGTATAAACTTTTTTTACAAAGAAATAAATGCAAAAATTAATCCGTGAATATGATAGAATAGGCTCTTTCTGAGCATATTCACGGATTAAATTTTGCATTTACTTCTTAGTAAAAAAGTTTATACATTTTATAAAACACAAATATATGCTTATTGTTAACAATTTAAATATGCTAGCAACATGGAAAAGGGTCAAGACCAAGTTTTCGATGCAGTGTTATCTTTATAAGGAAAGATAACGAAAAAAACAAGAGACCCAATTGAGATAGCAAGAGCTAATGCTTAGTGTAAGTAAAAAAAAAAAAAGTGAAATGACAAGCTTATCTATAATCCTCGCTGATCGGGAGGGTTTCACTGTATCTATCTGATGACTTGACAGAAAAAGGAGGGAGAGTGGTGCATGTCAGATAGAGGAAGCAGCAGCAAGGGCGGCATTCGAGTCCCAGAGAGCAACGTTGATGCATTCAACTGCGTCGTGCGACTTGATCTTGTCGCCGAGAACGTTGAAAGAAATACAGATCATTTATCGTTATCAAATGTCTATCAATATACGTACTCGTTTGAAAGTAAAACACACATGTTTTAGATAACGATATTTGTTTGTCACCCTCACAGGATAATACCGTCTTGCTTCTTTGTTGAACTGATTATTTGATTTAGTAATAAACATTTATAAATGGATAATTCATTAACGTTAATTTATTTGACGAAATAAAATTGGATTAATGCGTTCATTTAAATAGCGATAGGTTCAATTTACCTTGCAAAAATTTAAATTTAGCCAAATTTAGTGAAACCAAAAGCATAGAATTAAATTGTATAACGATAATACTTTTGTCAAAATCAAAGAACTAATTATAATAGATATGGTGTAGGAACTCTTAAATCGACAATATGTTTCAAGTTAAAAATTCTATCAACCTCTTAACTAAGATGTAAAACTAAAATTTGACCAGTAATATTATAGAAAAAGACTTTCTTGATAATATTACCGGTCAAATTTTGTATTTACTTCTTAGTTTTGACTTTTAACTTGAAACATATTGTCGATTTAAGAGTTCTTACATCATAGCATGTTTAACTGAATCTACTAAGTGCTTCATGTAACAAGTCTAAATCATAAGGAATAATAATGCAGCAAGATCTTATAAATTATTATTCCAGGTGAAAATATTTATTATGACTGAAAAGCCAGAATTTCTTGTTTTATAATTTTCATCAAATAATCAAAGCTATGTTAGCACATGTATACCTTTTGTTTGTCATAATTAGGCAATATTTTTTGAATACGTACTATACAATGTAATGGTTTACATTGAATTCATCTAAAATTTACGTACACAGTGATGAAATATCTATGTGTTCAGAATCTAATTTTGAAATGGCACTGATTAAGTGATAGAATTTCAAAACATTAAAGTCAATACAGCATACGATATTAATCAAAAATTTACTGTATCGGTGGTATGCCTTTATGAGAAAATCAAATTCTTTTGCGGTTAGAAAATTTTTTAACTACATCTTATCGTTATTTGATTAGAATATTGTGAGAGACATATACGTATACTGTAAAACGCTCTGTATCGGTATACATGTAGTACCCTTCCCTTGTAAAGTACTTTCCGGTTTATGCGCGGATATTTTTATGGTGCGTATTTTTATTTATTGATTTGTATAACTTAAATTAACAATGACGAGAAAAGAAACTATCGCTATTACCGTTACTATGTACAGTACCCCCAAAAAGAATCGCTGATTTTTTAAGCTCATGAATTTCTTCTGACATCCATTGATTATATAGTGCACGGACCTTTAAACTTAATTTTTAAATATGTATATAACGACAAAAAAACAAATTATAATAATTAAAACTTTTGTTAATATCAACATCTAATGGTCGCAGTTTAGATGTTAACCCTCCAGGAATTACAGCAAGATTTGTATTATTTTCAATAAGTTTATGTTTAAACTGAATCAACTAAATGTGACAAAAGGAATCAAAATTAAAGGGAATGTGGATTACTTAAAGATAGTCTTTTAGTCCGAATATTTTCAACCCAAAGCATTTCTTCTTCATTAACCCAACCATTTTCATTCACACGAATAAATACATTATTAGGAAAGCTTTCTCGAGGTATTTTGTTTAGTTTAAAAATGCAAACTGGAGGTAATTTTGTCCCATCAGCCATGCATCCAAGAACAAATGTGAAATTTTTTCTTTCATTATCCGTAGTTCGAAGACTAATTGTGCGGGCGCCACGTCTGTCGATTGTTGTTGGATTTGGTAAATCAAAGGAGTCTCGTCCATATTTCCAATTGAAGATGAAGGGTAATTATATTTAATACGTTGCTTTAAAATAAAAGTAAGAAAACTTTGTTTTTTTCTTCTAAAGTCTCAGGTAAATGTTGTGCAATACATAGTTGTATGACGGTTTGACAAATTATAACGATCTAAAAAACCATCAAGCCATCGATTCGAAAATTTAAATTTTGTATATCTGATAGATTTTGGAAATCAGCAGAAAATGCTTTCATAATCACCAATGTTCTAATAACAGGATTTTGTAATTGCCATTGTTTATTAATCCAATCAGATAAGGCTTCTTCTAGTGGATCTTGGGTAATTTTCCTTTATGTTTAAAAGTCATTAGTGATGTTTTAATTAGGTTATTTTTTCACTTATCCATTCCCATAATTTCTTGGGCTGGATATTAAATTTTTACTTGTTTCATAATACATAACAATCTTTAATTTTTCTTGAGCACACCAGGTTCATATTTTTTTGTTATACGTGCTTTTAAAGCATTTTTATTCCTGATTATGACCATTTCAAATTAATATATTCATCGAAAAATGTCAAGTATTTATATTTCTTCAAATATAAATAACTAAATTTTCTCGCGAATTTAATTATACATAGAGATTAATTTAATATTTTGCAAAACAACAACGATAAAACCGGAACATAATAATAAGAATTTTTAAGAATAATTTTGTTTAATTAGAAGATATTCATTATTTGTAAAATTACATGAGTCTCTTGATTCAAATTTAATTAACCGTTTATTTAAATGTTGTGACGAGATTGTTATTTCTAACGCTAATTCATAGATTATAGCTTCTTTTCTTGTCTTTGTTAATTTACTTTAAATATGGTATAAAGAATTGTTAAGAATATAATTAAATTATTCAGTTCTTTTGTTTAATTAGAAGAGATTTATTACTTGTAAAAATTACGTGAGTCTCTCAATTCAAATTTAATTAAACGTTTATTTAAATGATTGTTATTTCTAACGCTAATACATAGCGATAGATGATGGTTTCTTTTTCTCGTCATTGTTAATTTAAGTGATACAAATCTATAAATAAAAAAGAGAATTGTTATTGGCACCCCCCATTTTTGTTATTGGCACCCCTCCACGTGATTCAAAACGGGTCAGTTTGGGTCAGTTCTATAACCATTCCAAATCACTTGACTCAGAATCACGTGTTCATGTGATTCATGACAATCACATGCAAGTTACACCATAACCACTTTTTACAGGGTTCGCAATAATTATTAACTTTTAATTATCAAACGAACAAAGAAAACAATAAATAATTTAAGTGAAATGAACAGAGGAAACAATAAGGTGCTTGTGTCAAATTTATCA